TGGTTGTGTGTGTGAGCATGTGGATTGCTTTCTCACCTGATGGATGGATGGATGATGTATCTATTCTAAATGACATATCTTTCTACGGTGCATTGTCTTTTCATTTTTGAACGGCTGTAGGGGTAAGTTCTTGCTGAAAGTTGTCTTTTCCTTTTCAATACGGTAGAGGGAGTTTGGGACCGGCTTGGTATCCCTATCACGTTGGTCCTGGTCCACGACCTACTTGGGGCCCCTCGGGACCCAGTGGGACCAGGCCCAACGGGACAGGACCTTTCGGGCCCAAAACTGTTGCCGCCTGTGCATCTCTTTGTTGCGCCGAACTTGGGGGGCATACGGCTAGCAAGGGCATTCCTTTCAAGGGGATCTTGACCGGTCTTATCGCCTATTATCACATACTGCCCAACGTCTGACTCGGCGGCTGTCTGCACCCCTCGAAATCTTCATTGCTGCAGTTAGTTTTCTTCGGCTGACTTATTGTGATGCATGTCCCTTATCAGGTTAGACAAGAGGGGATCTCCAGCTGATCTAATCGGGCCCGTTCTATAAGTCAGTCCTCTCTTCCGGTTTATTTTATTTATTTATTTATTTATTCTTTTTCCGTTGCGTGCCATTCTCTGAGTCCAAATGAATTGCCGCTCCGGCTAGGAGTTCTACCTTCTTCTCTGTGTGAACTTTCTGATTGTTTCTTTCATCTGAACTATCTATGTCCGGTATTGAGACGCGTGCGCAGACAGCGAGATTTTGAGAGTGTGAGGAAGGGCAAGAGGAACGTTCGTCCAAACGTCAGGAGAGAGCGGACCCCTCTTGAGAGATCTACTGACACCCCTTCCTCCGGCATGGCAAACATCACATCTGCCCAATGGCAGGCCATGCTGGATGCAGCAGATGAAAACGAGAGACCGTTCTTCCAGAAGCTTTATGATGATGCCGTGCAGAGGGAAAGGGAGGCAGCGGCAACAGCCAGAGCCGCCAACATTGCTGATCAGGTGGCTCTCCTTCGGATCCCGGAAGCCAATGCTGACCGGTTCCAGGAGGGACTAGCTGCTGTCGTAGCAGCCTTGGTTCAACTGCGGAACTTGGAAGACCTTGAGTCCCATGCAACAGCGCTGGAGCAACGGAACCAAGAGCTGCAGGCTGAGATAATCAGCCTCAAACAGTCCCAACTGTCTGCCCCCCGCGCTCCTAACCCTCGATCTGTTGCAGTCCCAGTATCTCAATCTAACACAGTCCTCATGGCAAGAGCAAGTGGAACTGTGGCAAGCGCAAGCGCTGGTGCCAGCTCCTCAAGCGGCAGCGCCAACAGTTTTGGACTAGTCATAGTCCCAAATGCGGGGACATCAGCCCAAAACGCCACAGTCCTTACTGGCGTTCAGTACAGCGGTCCCGTAGTGGACAAGCGGGTGGCCACCTTGCCGTCCAAGTATGACGGGAAAGCGGACATCACCTTTTGGATTAGTTCCATGCGGTCATACTTCGAGGTCATGCGGACACCGCAAGAGGACCGAMGTATGATCATGGGGACTAATACTGAGCCCGCCGTACGGAATCACATTGAGCTCCAAGCTGTTGCTGCAGGTTATGAACGAATTGACCTGACTGAGTGGCTGAAGGTAACCCCCGTACGCACCCTTGAGGACCTTCTCCTCACACGATACCAAGACAAGCATGCTGCGCTCAAGGCTAGGCTGAAGCTTGAGGCCCTCAAGGGTCAAATATGGAGGTCCTCCATGCAAGCTTTGGAACAACACTTGACTGGTCTGTTCACTACTCCAGATCTGGGAAAGACTGATGTGTCTTGTATGGATGTAGTCATGGGAGTGGCCCCTAAAGAATACCTCTCCCTGTTGGCACTCAAAGACCATACCTCATGACGGATCTAGTCAACCTAGAAGCCAAGGACCTCGCCAGACGCAAAAAGGCGCCCGCTGCAGGTGCGAAACCACAACGCAAGCGGTTTGGAAGCAGAAACCAGCTTGCACTGCATGATCATCGGGAGGCTGAGGATCAGTCCTACGCGGATGATCTGTCTCTAGATGACGATCTAGAGCCGGACTCCGATATGGGCTGTTCCACATCAGCCATTGAGTCTGACGTCAACGAAGATGAAAAACTGAATGCTTTTTGAAAGAATGCTTAAAACAAGGGGCCTAACCGTGGTTCGGGTAAGGGAACTGTTGTCCACCTCCCCAAGAATGCAAGGATCCCTGAGAAACCGGAGGATGCATCTACCAAGCCTTGGGAAGCCCTCCGTATCAGTCAGAAAGAATGGGAAAGAAGATCTAAACTGCGCATATGCATTGTCAAAAGCCTGGGTATGCTGTGAAGGACTATTTTCGACTGCAGGGAAACAAGCAAAGGGCGTAGAGGAGTCCTCAACACTCCCTACAACAAGGGAAGTTGAAACATCAGTTGCAGGCCCCTCCGACGAGCCTGAATCTGATCAATAGCCCACTCTTGAAGCCCGGAACGACGCTGAATCCAAGGATGCTGCAATTCATGTGCTTTACACTGAGCCTTGGGAGGAGTCTAAGGAAGTTGACTTCCACGCTCACATGGAACACTGGCTGCAGCTCAAGCAGCAACGCCGTGTCCAAGGGAGTGTGGAGTTAACCTTCTTTAAACTGCTCATTAACCGTCGTTACATCCGCGTGTTGATTGATAGTGGTTCAACCACTAATTTCTTCTCTCCCACGGGATTCGCAAGGCGGTCCTGGGAATGAAGCAAGTGGAATTGCAAGACCCTTGTCAGACCCAGGTGGGCAACCAAGAGGTTGTCACCTCTACACATGCTGTCAAAGGTGTGCGCGTCACCTTTGACAAGGACCGCACTGTCACACATGAGCTCAACTTCTATGTCATGGACAAGTGTCTGTTCCACGCGGTCATTGGCTTGGGCTGGTTAAAGGCTCATTGCCTAAGGACCACGTGGGCGGACAATCAGTTCGTGGTGCGTGATGCCAAGGGGAACGAGCGTACAGTTCGATTGGATGAGACGCGCGAGTCCCCTGTGACTCTTCTAAGTGCAACCAAATTCTGCAAATCAGTGCCCAGGCGCAAGGAAATTGAGCATGTACATGTAGCTTTTGTAAAGCCTCTCCATGTGCCTTCTACTTTTGCTGCGTTTTCTACCTCGGTAAGTAACTCTACTTCTACCACCTCTGCTTCTATTGTGAATAATCCTTCTACTTCTAATCCGGTTGTCATTGCTGTAAATTCTCAGTCTAATTTTCTTTCTCCTGATGAGGATGATCCTCCACCGAAAATCCCAACAAACATTCGCCAGCTATTAGATCGATTCCCTGAAGTTTTGGCCGAATCTCGTGGAGTTCCCGAGCGTCCGGTCAAACACAAGATCGAGATAATAGAAGGGAGTTTTCCTCCAAAGGGCTGCGTCTACCGTATGGGGCAAGGCGAGTTGGAGGAGTTGAGGAGGCAGATTGATGACATGATTGATCGTGGATGGATTAGGCCTAGTGAGTCTGAGTTCGGCGCACCTGTCCTGTTTGTGCCAAAGAAAGGAGGCAAACTCCGGATGTGCGTTGACTATCGTGGCCTAAACCGTATCACCCGGAAGGACGCGTATCCCTTGCCTCGTATAGATGATCTGCTAGATGCTGCAGGTGGGTGCAAGGTCTTCTCCAAGATCGACCTCAAATCTGGCTACCACCAGATTGAAGTTGATCCGAGTGACCAGCACAAAAATGCATTCAAGACACGCGATGGGTTGTACGAATTCGTCATTATGCCCTTCGGTCTTACAAATGCACCAGCCACATTTCAGAGTCTCATGGACAAGGTACTCCGCCATCAGCTCAACAGGTTTGTGGTCGTGTACCTTGATGATATTCTGATTTTCAGCAAATCCATGGAAGAGCACCTCAAACACCTTGAGGAAGTTTTGCAGGTCCTCAAGGAGGCGCAACTTCACCTCAACTTAGAGAAATTTGAGTTTGGGAGGGACAACGTCATCTATCTTGGGCATAGGTTGTCCGCAAACGGCCTTGAGCCGGAGGCAACCAAGGTTGAGGTAATTCGAAGCTGGCCTCAACCGACAAACGTACGCGAACTGCGTTCTTTCCTCGGTCTGGCCTCCTATTACCGGAAGTTTGTGCCCAAATTTTCTGTCATTGCTCACCCTCTCTCAAGACTAACTAGCAAGAATGTTGCCTATGTATGGTGTGAGAAGTGTGAGACTGCGTTCCAAGCCTTGAAAGAGGCATTGGTAAGTCATCTTGTGCTTCGCATTGCAGATCCCAACCTCACTTTCGTAGTCACTACGGATGCGAGCCAGTTCGGGATTGGTGCAGTGCTGCAATAAGATGATGGTGATGGCCTGCGTCTGCTCGAGTACTACAGCAAACGCATGCCCAGCCACAAGGTAGCTACTTCCACGTATATGTGTGAGCTCTACCCCTGCGCGAGGCTCTCGCACATTGGAAGCACTACCTCTTGGGTCGCCACTTCAAGGTCTACTCAGACCTTGCAGTGGATTCAGACACAATCTGAACTCTCTCCTACATTGACCCGCTGGTTGCATGACATTGATGTCTACAGCTTTGAATTGAAACACAAGAAAGGCTGTTATAACTGGATTGCTGATGCGATGTCTCGCCATCCTGAATTCTTGACTTGCCTCGTGGGTTCGTATGACCTCCGAAGGAAACTGAAGGAGGATCTGGTCGAACACACCGCCAAGGATCCGGACCCTAGTCCCATCCTTGAGCAGCTCAAGGCTGACCCTAACAGTCAGCCTGATTTTCATGAGTGCGAGGGTCTTGTATTCCGCCGGTATGGGAAGTTTGATCGCTTATGTGTACCCAACCATGCGCCTCTCTGAACGCATTTCTTGGATCTGGCACATGGTTGGAGTGGACATTTCGGCTTTGAGAAGACCTATGGAACTCTTCTGCAGCAGTTTGATTGGCCCGGAATGAAAGGATCTGCTCAGAAATTTATTGCTGAATGTCAGGTATGTCAAAGAACCGAGGTCCACAGGCATAAGCCTTATGGCCTGTTGAGACCCCTCCCCATTCCTGATGGACCCAGTGAGTCGATTTCCATCGACTTCACGGACATGGGAAAGGTGAGTGAGGCAGGAAATTCACAAGTCATGGTCATCGTGGACCGCTTCTCCAAATTTCTGAACTTGATTCCTTTCCCTCCCCATGCCCCAACTGAACTTGTCATCGAAGTATTCCATCAGCAGTACATTCTGCAATTTGGCGTCCCGAAAACTATTGTGAGTGATCGGGACACCAGATTCATCAGCAAAGATTGGAAGGACTTTACCTCTCAAATGTATGACATTAAACTGAACAGGACTTCTGGTCGACACCCCGAAGCCAATGGTTTGGCCGAGGAGATCAACCAGACTGTCATCCAACTACTTCGCGCATTGATTGTTCCAGATCAGAACACGTGGGACAAGGAGCTGCACAAAGTGAAGGGACTGTATAATAACTCCATCCACTCTGCAACTGGCGTGCCACCAAACCAGTTGCAATATGGATGGCCGATGCGTAATCCCCTCTGTAGGGAGGATAGCAGAGCCTGCAATGATGTTTCCCTCCAAAAGGGAGGAGGTACCGGTTGCTGGGAGGCCGCTCGGCCTAGGAAGTCACCGCCCAGGAGGCCGGTAGGCCGCTATATCTCCAGAAGAGCAAAGAGCTCTTCCTCATTTGCGGTGTGCAAGGATTGGCGACATACTGCTGGAGCGCAGCGCTGGACTGGTGCAGCGCTGCTTGGAGGTGAAGGGCCGCTGGAGCTCAGCCTGRCTATGGCGAGCACTCCAGCTTGAGGAGGAGGAAGAAGGGGGCATAGTAGGAGAGTGGCGGGGCACTTACCTGGCTATGGTAGACACCATCTTCATCACCTTGTTGGGCGCTGCATCTGGAAGGCCTCAGTTGGGGTAGTGCGGCACCAGGGAAGCTCGAGGCAGAGTCAGGCATAGCGGACCRAGTCAGCAGCGGCATAGCTGCTTTGAGTGGTCCTTTGGACATCAGCGCAGCACCATAGCTGCTTGGGTTGTCCTTTGGACATCAGCACAGCACCCTAGCTGCTTGGAGTAGTCCGCCATAGCCTATGCATGAGAGAGGAGGCTGAAGGAGGGAAGCCATAGCCTATGCATGGTGGACTGGTTGTTGTTGTTGTTGTTGTTGAGTTGAGTCAGCAGTAAGAGGGAACTTCGGATATTGATTCTGGTTCATCCATTCATTGTTATTATTATTATTGAGAGAAGAATAAGATTGGTGAAGAGAAGGAGGAGGAGGAAGGTGGAGAGAGAAGGGGGGAATTGT